CTGAGTGAGAAAGGCATCAAATTGAAGAAAGATAAATTCAACTTCATGCTTAAAGAGGTCAACTACCTGGGATTTATCATTTCTGCTGTTGGAATTTCGCCAACYAAAGAGAAAGTTGAAGCAATCAACAAAGCGGAACTCACCAAGCAACGTTGCTGAGTTACAAAGTTTTATTGGAATGGCTAATTACCTACGACAGTTAACTCCAAATTTTGCTGAAATCATGTCACCACTGTATAAGTTACTATGAAAGAATGCAAAGTGGAAATGRGAAACTGAAGAGAAGCAAGCGTTCACAAAGATAAAGGCCGCGATTACGTCAGAGGAGGTATTACGTCATTACGATCCAAAAGCACCATTGGTCTTGCAAGTAGACGTCTCATCAATTGGGGTTGGAGCCGTCATTTTGCAACCTGAAAAAGGAACTTTGAAACCAGTTGCATTTGCCTCAMGAGTACTTGCAGATGCTGAAAAGAAATACTCACAAATTGAGAAAGAACCACTTGCCATTGTATTTGGAGTCACCAAGTTCAGACAGTATCTGTTAGGACGACATTTCACACTAAAGACAAGCCKCTGATTGCATTGTGTGGGGAACACAAGCCAATCACACAGATGGCATCATCAAGAATCAAACGCTGGACATTGTTATTGGCCGCATATGATTACACAATTGAATTTATACCAGGAAAAGAGAACAACTGGGCTGATTTTCTATCTAGAAGTCCTATCGAAGGAAAAGCAACGTCTGAAGAGAAAAAAAAGTTCAAGTTCTATTCACTAATGAAGAAGTCATCAAGGCTGAAGTTGTAGCATCAGAGACAAGGAAAGATCCGATACTCAAGAAAGTGCTGTACCATACCAGGTTTGGCTGGAGTGATCAACCAACCGAAGAATTAAAGCCATACTACAATAAAAGACTGGACATCACCACCGAAGATGACAAACTAGTTTGGAACGAACGAGYTATAATTCCAACWTCGCTGAGAGAAATTCTACTAAACGACTTGCATGCAGAACATCTTGGAATTGTTAAAACCAAGCAGTTAGCAAGAAAAACATGTGGTGGCCACTAATCGATCAAGACATCGAAAGCAAAGTAAAGGAATGTTTAGCATGTCAAGAAACTGCCAAGAAACCCGCTGAAACACAGCAAGCTAAGTGGTCAGCATGGGCAACAGGACCATGGAAACGTCTACACCTGGACTTTGCTGGTCCTTACGAAGGAAAAATGTTCTTGGTGATTGTAGATGCATACTCAAAGTATCTGTAGATTGTCCCGATGACAACCATTACTTCAAGTACAACAATGTCTGCTTTACGACATCTGTTTAGTCACTTTGGACTTCCAGACCATATAGTGACAGACAACGGAACCCAATTTACCAGTCGAGAATTTGGATCATTTTTACGTATGAACAACGTACTTCACACAAAGACAGCGCCTGCGCATCCATCAAATAATGGTCTAGAGGAGCGCTATGTTGGTCATTTCAAAACGAAAAACAATTAGATGAAGATTGGTCACAATTCATTACAAGTCAGATTAGACAAGTTCTTATTCACGTACAGAATAACGCCAACAACATTTGGGAAATCACCAGCTGAAATGTTGATTAACCGACAACCCAAAACCAGATTCGACTCACTGAGACAGCGAAGTTTTTTGGATATGAGACAACAAGTGAAAGTTTTTCAGGACAATTCAGAGTTMAAACCTGAATTCAAACCTGGCMAAGCCATATTTGTATTAAACTTTGGAAAAGGACCAAAGTGGCTCCCTGGAGTTGTACTGAAGGCAATAAGTCCAAGAAACTATGAAGTACAAGTGGATGATGTGACGTGGAAAAGACACTGTGCACAAATTAGACCAAGGTACATTCCCACAAGCCTAATGGATAGAAAGAATGAAATCCAACCAACAGAGATTACTACAACAGAAGACACGATTCCAACACAAGCACGCGTTCAAGGAAAAGAACCAAATGACAAACCTGTCATACCCACACCATCTCAAAGGAAGGAGGTCGAGGAAGATACGACAAAACAACAAAGCACAAGTCAGGAAGATACAACAAAACAACAAAGCACAAGTCAGGATACTGTACCGGAGCTAAAAGGACTGACAGTTCAAGAGCCGAGATACCCATGTAGGGACAGGAAAAAGCCAGACAGACTTATGATTGGGCAATGACTTATATTTCTGATAACTTAATCAACTATTACAAAAACTTAAAGGGAGAGATATTGCTATGTATATTCATGTATATTCATGATATTATGATCATATATTTACTTCAATTCAATTCCCAAAGATTAATCTTTAAGAATAAATAGCTTTATCACATTACTAATAAATTGCTTGTAGTTTGTCTGGACCAAAGGACTCCATGTGATTTATTACAGCACTGATATGTTAATGTTTTAAACATATCACAGAGATGGCAAAACTTTGCACCAGTAGAAATGGGCGACCTATCACAAACATTCTCTTTGTGTCCAGCTGTTGAAGATTTCATTGAAGCAGATTTGCTGATTGTTGATAACTTGTAAGTATACTTCTACAGTAATTCTAAATTAAATACAGCATGCAAGCTCTATTTGATATATTACATGCAGTGTTTAAGTAAACATGCATGAAATGATGCCATTGATACAATCTTACATGTGCTCAGATTGGTCAGAACCTGTATGCATTCATTGATGTGCTTGTTCAATTATTTCAATAGAATCATTCATGATTGAAAGAAAATTTGTAGCCTGCATGCAGCCAAACCAAACATTTTGTTATAATCATAACTTTGACTTCTGTTTATTTAGAGTAGATACCGTGAAGAATCAATGTAGATGTAGCCTAGGTTTCAATCAATGAGACACATTGCAATAAAACTGCAATTTACTGTCTTGCAGAGGGATAAAAGCAACAAGTAATGGCTTGAATGTGATAGACAGCATAGTAGCAGCACTTGCATTACATCTAGAAAAGTACTTCAAGTCCTGATGCAAGGTACATTGTTCAACTTTGATTACCCTGATGAAGGTATTTATTATTTATGGAAGGGGAGTTATGGGGTGATAAAATGGGGGGCTGGTATTTTTATAAAGTTCGAGTTGTTGAAAAGGGAACTATCWGTACCTCATACCTCAATTCATGGAAACAAACTTAGGGTAGCTGGTATAAACCACCAACATTAAGTAATGGTCCGACTAAGAAGCAGGCAAGCAAACGGCAATGGAATGCATRAAGGTGCTAATTTTGTATTGTATAATCCATCCATCTCATTGGTTAAAACATTAAAATTTGACATAATTTCAAAAGTAAGCGCATTTTTTAATATTTTATTTAATATCTGATTTCGACTCCATAAAAGCTTTCCTTAGCTTTGATATTAATAGCAATTCTATGTGGGGAACATAGCAAATTAGCAGCATTTTTTGGTTATTGTTTTGAGTGCTTATGATTGGACAAGATCTTTTAATACAAAAGAAAGTTTGTTTCAAAACAGAGTTTATTCACATTTTATTTTAAAAATCTGTTACCCATAGGTTGATATATAATCAGTGTGAAAACCAAGACATTTGTATGTGGGGAAGTTGCAATTGCCGCAGAACAATAGAAAGTTGCCTGCTTTTTGCGCGCATTGTTACTTAAAATACCTACAACTCGGGAAATCATAGCCATGACAAATGAAATGCAACATCAACTTCAGCTTGGATATTCATTGAAGAAGATGTCTTATTTATATGTGATATTTTCCATTTTCCAACACACGGGATTGTTGGGTGACATGAGAAAGATGTTTTTGAATTGCAAGCTGAAGGGAATGATTCAAAACGTTTTCAAGTGTTCTAATAAAGATTTGAAAAATAACAACTCTTGCTGTGTTTCTATGCTCTTATAGAAACATAATATTTTTTGTTTTATAATTATAATATTTGTTAATATTATATAATTCTCCTATTAATTATTTTAATATTATATAATCTCCTATTAATTTTACAAAATAATAGGCATTGATGTGTATAATTTGGTGCTAGGAGGCCAGCTTGAACCCTGTGTCAATTCAAAGGATAATATTTGTGGCAGAAAAAGACTTAGTTTGCTTGTCATGAGTTTGTTCTAACAAAAGTAATATATTTTAGTGTATAAGAACAGATTACATAACAGCAGGTTTTCAGTTATCTACATGTTCATGTAAACATTGTCAAAAGATGTAGTCTTAGTTTATCTATTATAAAATCATATTTTCACAATAAAATGTCAATAAMGTTTTATATTCTCTACTATAAAAATTTGACGTGTGTATAATTAATTCTTGAATTTTGTATACGCTGTTCATTACTGTGAGCAATTCAATTGAAGCATTTTCATTAGAGCTGCAGGCGCACAACAGAGTATGCAATGTGTAGGACATTTTGTCAAGAAGCATATTTTTGTTTCAAGTCTTCTTTGAAGCATTGAAAATCAATGTCCAAATCAATGCATCATTATTGTACAAGACATGAAAATGTCTAAAAACACACAAAACAAATTCATGATTATTAAGTGAATATTTGAATATGAATATTTGAATATTTGAATATGAATTTCACTGAATGCTTAACATTCTTCAATAAACTTGAGATGCAGTTTGCGATTTAACCAGACAATAGCAATTAACTGGAAAAGGTGTCATATGCTTCTTGACATGAAAGCAGCAGTCCAAATTACTATAGTCTATACCATGTATCATACTAGAATTTTGAAAGTCTATGTTTTTTCGTTTTCGTATGCATTAAGAATTACAAAAAATTTGGATTTGACATGTGTGTTTATGTTCTTGCACATTCAAACATTTCTTTCATTAAAGTCGACATTGGGACTTCTCCCTCTAGCTTTGACCTAACAAGAACAAAGAAGCCATAACCCTTTGTGCAAACATCACGTAATCCTGGAAGGCGAAGAAGGATTTTAGCAAATCTTTGTGGCTGTTGTGGGTACTTGGTAGTGATGTGATGCTCTAATCCAGACAGAAATGATGTCCGTAATGTTTCAACATCCTTCTTGGACTCTAAACCTGGATTCTCTACAATGAAGTAAGTTATTGCAATTATTATGTCATTGAATTGGTCTTCATTGTTATCAGTAATTTCTGGAGTGCATATCTTATATATCCCTGACATTATGAATCAAGGTTAATATCCAGCAATTAACCAAATAYGGTATGTTGTAACATTACACTGAACTCAGCTCTGAAATCACTACTAATAACTGAGTATTGAATTTGCTGAAACATTGATAAATACTGACCCCTGTTGGACCCCAGCTCTTCAACTCACAAATATCTATCTTAAACCCCTATATATGTTATTAGTAATATGAACTGACCAAAAAAGACTCCTTATTACAGTAAGTTGTAGGTGAGGTTTGTTATTGTAACTTTACTGGCCTTTACTGTGAATTGAATTGAAAAAGCATTGTTTAAGGTGTTTCGATCGTAATAAATAGCGTTTCGCGCGTATTTTTAAACTCSAACTACGTTGCAAATTTCGATTCCATTGCACTCAAATTTTCACAGAAGTAACGGTGATTATAGATAATTCTTGTTGATAAATTAATTTGCCAAAAAGCGAAGGCATTTGGATAAACGATGCAAAATAAAAACACCTTCATTTTTCTTCAAAGTTAATTTTCTCGAAACTCATCGCAGAGATTGTAATAAAATTTTCAGAATCATTTATTAATAACATAATTGATATACTGACGAAGTTTCAATAAAATCTTAACCTAAAATTTCGATTTGTTAGAATGTACATCATTTGGCTCAAACAACTCGAAATTTTAGGTTAAGATTTTATGTCTTCTCAAATTCATGAACAACTAATTAATGAGGTAAAGCAAAAAAAATCTTTTCTGTCAAAAAGTTGAAAAGTGTTCCAGCATAAGCACTTGGAATACCAAAAAGGCAACTTTTTTTTCACATAGAAAACATAATAAAACACAAAGAAGTATTTAATGAACACCTTTGTGTTAGAGTAGGAGACAATATTATGGGTTATAATTACCTGGATCAGCAAGAAGTATTGACATCAAACATGCATATTCTACTTTATCCAATCCCAAAGCCTTTAGGCGTTCAACAACATCTAATATCATATCAACAATCTCAGTGTTGAAAACTTTATAGCATAATTGTCTTTCCAGTAATGTTGTAGAATTTAAGTAAACTTGGTTAGTGTACGGTATTGACCTGAAAATTACTCTAAACACAATCAACTCCATTCCTGCTGCAGTTAGAAGTATCATCTGATCATGTTGCGATAACTTACTAAACCCAGGAACCTGTTTGGCCCACTCCACTATAACGTGCAGTTCTTTTGTAATAGCATTGGATGTTCTTTGGAGAACAGCATTTTTGCCTTCTTGTAAGCTTTCTAGGAACTTCTCAATAGGTTCACCTTGTGGAACTATGCAAGGATTGCTTGCCATTAATTCATCTAGCAGCACAGATTCTTCTGGTTTGTTTTTATCTACAGGTAGTTCTGTGCGCAAAGGATAAAATGAACGACCCCCTCTTTTTTTTTCCTTCCGAATGCCTGTATAAGAAAAAAAAGCATTGAAAACTAGTTATTGTACATTCCCATCTGGTCAGCTCAGCATTTTACTGTGACTCTTTCTTTCTTCTAAAAAATATTGAAATATTTCTATTGATTGTAGTTTTGCAAGTTGATATTTGGAATTGTAATTATTTTCTTCAAATATGTCTTTCTCCTGCAGTCCTGTCCAGAACAAATCTCAGTTTCTCTCACGTGATTTCCTTAAGGTCCATGTCACACTAACTGCAATGTCATGAAATCTTAATTAATTGTGAATCAGGTAAGATTCATTAAATTAACATTGCCATATGCAATTTTCAAGTAAACAGCTAGTGTTACTATCGTTTAAGATATTTTCCAAGATTTATGCTTATTTGACCAGATCTCCGATATTGCAGTGCTCGCCATGCAAGCTCGAGTGCATTGTTTTAAAACCATGGCTTCTATGGGATAAAAACAACATTCACCCTCAACCAAGCTGAATGAGTACCTTTTTGATAGCGTTTGTTTCAAAGTAGATTCATAACATGTTTGGCCATCGATGTATTCTTACCTTGTTCGACCATACCAATATCGAAGCATTTTTGCAGTCGACAGGCCTGACATTTTGCCCGAGTTTTTTTATCAATAACACAAGTCTGTGCATTACCACAAGTGTATCTGTTTATATGTCCTCTGTGGATTGTTCTTTTAAAGAAGCTTTTACAACCCTCGCATGTTTCAGCCCCATAGTGATAACCYGAGCTAACATCGCCACAAACACCACATTTTTCATCGCCACAAACACCATGTTGCTGGGGCTCCATCTTCGCTGTGTTACATGCTCTAACCTGTCTTGCAAACTATATGCCAAATAGCAACCAATATTTCCCTCAATATTCACGTATCTATATGCACAGACAGAACGTTAAGTTGAAGTTCTTGAAGAGATTTGTTTTCCTTTCATAGTGACTTGGTTATTGATATTGATCGGGGTCCCTGCTGTAAAGTGTAAGGGAATGGAACTAATATTACTCCACAGCAATC